TGGATAAAAAATTGCTCTACTACCTGTTGTACAAAATGTTCCAGTGAAGCAACCTGTACAGGTACAGGTATAATCAGTGCAGGAACCAGCAACAGCAGTACATGCTCCTCCATTCTGGCAGAGGTTATTAGCACAAGCATTAACAGCTATGAAGAAGAAAAAAAGTTCAAATAAATATAGTAAATAATATATAGTTAAATCAATTATTCATACTAATGCTTTCAACCATCTAACACCGCATTGTCTCCCTGTGCACTGCTAAATTCACCACCAGATAGGCCCATGAAAAAATAAAACTTTCGTTGAGTTATCCTTGGTAGTGGGTTTCACACCAAAACCGAACCAAATCTAAAAATTCTCACCAATTAAAAGTAGACAGAATACAATACTATTTTGCATACACCCTTGTCTAGCATGGTTATAGTTAAGGCATTTTAGTAGTGAAATGTCTGAATTGTTTCAATCTTTACTATGATTAAATAAGTTATTTGATTTTTTTTTAATTGAGCAATTAATTTTTTAATTCACTTTTGAATGTTATTACGAGGATGCATCTTTAATACGTTTAATATGTGTCTTTTATGGAATGAAAATATAATTTCATTTACTAATTTAATTTTGGTGTTTCAATGTGTTCCATATGTGTTTGATCCAATGACCAGGAGAGTAATGTGAAGCGCTTAGAGGCCTTGTAAAGGCATGAAGCGCCATATAAGAAAGACATATTGTTGTTATTATTATTATTTTAACAATTATTTTATTTAGGAAGCATTCCTAGTTATGCGTGTAATCAGCACTACTAATGTCATTTCAAATCATTCACCTCCTACTAGGTACCCATTTATACAAGTTGGGGAGATGAGAGAAACCTGGTAGCTCAGACACGAAGGCCTTAGGGGAGAAGAAAGTTCTACGGCTGACTGGATAAAAAATTGCTCTACTACCTGTTGTACAAAATGTTCCAGTGAAGCAACCTGTACAGGTACAGGTATAATCAGTGCAGGAACCAGCAACAGCAGTACATGCTCCTCCATTCTGGCAGAGGTTATTAGCACAAGCATTAACAGCTATGAAGAAGAAAAAAAGTTCAAATAAATATAGTAAATAATATATAGTTAAATCAATTATTCATACTAATGCTTTCAACCATCTAACACCGCATTGTCTCCCTGTGCACTGCTAAATTCACCACCAGATAGGCCCATGAGAAATAAAACTTTCGTTGAGTTATCCTTGGTAGTGGGTTTCACACCAAAACCGAACCAAATCTAAAAATTCTCACCAATTAAAAGTGGATAAAAAATTGCTCTACTACCTGTTGTACAAAATGTTCCAGTGAAGCAACCCGTACAGGTACAAGTATAATCAGTGCAGGAACCAGCAACAGCATTACAAGCTGCTCCATTCTGGCAGAGATGATTACCACAAGCATTAACACCTGTGGAAAAGAAAAAAAAAGTTAACACCTTCAGACAATATCAATATAGTAATAATATGTAGTTGTTTCTCTATAATGCTTTCAAACTGTCACTGCCAAACCTTCTCTTTGTCCAATACTTCCTGAAAAACCCAAACATACAAGCAGCTGCATTCTGATAGAGGCTGTTATCATAAGAATTTTTAGGTAAAAACAAACAGTTTATAAACAATAAAATAACATTATCTTATCTACGGTTGGCCCTCCACAAAAAATGTAAAACCATTAACCATTTCTATGAGGATACACCTTTAACATGTTTAATATGTGCCTTCTTTTAGGAAAATGCAAAGTAAAAAATATCTATTACCCATACAATATAAAAAATATTAAAATTTCAAAATGGAGCCCGAAGATAATAGTACTTGAATTATATTTTTTCATGATAATGCTTTCAAACTGCCACTTCTCTTTGTTCATCCCTTCCTCAAAAATCCAAACCTTATTTGACAAATATAAGGAATTGATCTACCTGTTTGACAGAATGTTCCAGTGAAGCAAGCTGGACAGGTACAGGTATAATCAGTACAGGAACCAGCAACAGCATTACAAGCTGCTCCATTCTGACAGAGGGTATTAGCACAAGCATTTTGAGCTAAAAACAAACATTTTATAGACAATAAAATTATCCTACTTAAAACTGCCCCTGCACAAAAAATTTAAACCATTAACCATTACTACGAAGATACATCTTTAATTGGTTTAACATGATGTGTCTTTTAATGTACAATTAATTTGGTTTAGTTCACTCACATTACATTCTGTTGGGAAAATGGAGAGTATGAACAATCTATTAAATCTACAATATAAAAAATATTAAAATTTCTAAATAGGGCCTTACTTGAAACCCAGCCTCAAGAGTAGTAGGGAATGAAATATCTTTAGCCAGGGGCCTCCAGAGCCACTGAATTATTACCTGTTTCACAGTATGTTCCACTAAAGCAAGCTGGGCATGTACATGTGTAAAGATTACATTGGTTAGGAACGTTGGTGATACCGACACAAGCCGCTCCATTCTGACACAAGTTGTCGCTGCATGGATTGGTTGCTGGTAAAAAAAAGAAATTAATACCATATTCACTTTAAATTGTAATTTATTTATCACATGTACATTATCATCTTTTCTGTTATTGTTATTACAAAGTATTACACAATTGGTACACAGTTCTCTGTGCACTAGAGATGAATTCCACCCCTTCCAAAAAAATCCAAACGTTGATTGACAGAGGTGTACCTGTTTCACAGGATGTACCAGTGTAACAAGCTGGACAGGAACAGGTGTATAGAGTGCAGGAACCAGCAACAACAGAAATAACAGGTGTAACATGTTGGTACAGGTGTACATAATAATAATAGTAATAAGTGACATATATACAAGCAAGCCGACCCCAGAGCGAATACAATCAATCACTTAAACAATACAATTACAGTTAACATGACATAAAAATAAAAGAAAATCATTCTACAATGTATAATACTTAGTTTAGAAAAGAGTACAGGAACCAGCAATGCATTACAAGCACTCTGACGAAGGTGACCTCTACTGTACATATTTAACAAGCAAATTTCCAGTACAATTCCAGGACATTCAGGTCAAATTTTCCAACATTCAAGGACACAATATATAGCTTAACATTAAAATATCGGAGATTTTACAACTGATTATAAAACATATATGCTGTACTACTTTTAAATGAATGTTAGTTGAGTGTATATTAAGTTTTATCAAACTCTAATTCGGAGGCGATGGACATGTCTCTTTTTCTCACGGTCGTGGGAAATTAAGTTTTTCTCACACGTGTAATATTTGATTGTAAGCAAAGAAATTCCCACGAGTATGGGAAAGTACCGGTAAAGTAAGGCAGGGGTGATCGCCTACAGTGAAGTAGAATTCTCCCCTTGGCAACATAAATGTGCGCGTACAACAATGGTCTTTGCTTAAAACGTGATAGTGTCTTTTGTGGTACCAGCGCGCTCAAATAACTCGGTTCTTTTTTGGCGCCACAAGGTGGGTTTCCGCCTGTCTAGGGTTGTTGTTCAGCGAACAGCTGTGGCGAAGTTGAAATGTATATACATTAAAACAATATAGCCTTCGATAGGTTACGTTGCGGAGACGTTAATGCATCTCATTTCATATACTGCATATATTTAGGTGTTTATAAATGTTGTATAAACGAATGATGTACTATATTATTAATTAATTTAATGGTTATGCTCTATTATCAACACATCATTATACTATACTGTATTATTTATTATTATTCGTTACTATTAGCATAACATTATTATTAATATTTAGGTCTATTATTATTAGGCCTTAGTTGTAGGCCTACAACTTTTATAATCTACTCTACAGCAAAATGTTAACGTACGGCACCATCCTACCGGCACTGATCTGCTGCAGACCAGCATTGTTTTTTTTTTAATGATTTTGTAACCATCAAAAACATAATTAACGAAATATCTTGCCCTAAATTCAAGAACTTCTAACAGTAAACGCCCTTTAAACACAATTCACTAAGAAAATAAGTGCAGAAGTACACGTTCCCATGGTTACTTTAATTGTTATTTAACTGCCTTGCGCTGCATAGGGCTAAAACATGGCCATTCGTGCTGAACAAATGTGCACGTCTGGAGACTGATGAATTACCCAAAGTGAATTCACAGGGCTGAGCATGTGCGACAAGACCTGTTCAACTGTTAGAAAGTTTAGTATTTTAGTACTTTTTATAACACACGACAGAAAGCAAATAACACCATAGCAGATGTCAAGAAATTTAACGATTATGGATTATGATTATCAATGTCTGAATTAAAATTAAATGCAAACATAATTAATATACAAGATTTAAAAAAAAACAGCGCCTTTACTAAAACATAGGCGAACAACTCCATTGGACATTAAATATTCAACTGTGTATATCATTTTCCTCTTAAAAAGTGCATTACTGACTGTTGTCTGAACCAGCCGGTCGGCAATTTTCAGCAAAGACATTCTTTCTGTCATTGATAACATTCCTGAATTGGCGGCGTACAAAGACTTGACCTGATTCTCTCAAGAGTATTGTGGGAACCTACTTGTGGGAACGTTTCTCATCCAATTTACTGTTACTAGGCAATTTGTAGTACTGCAATTAATGGTAAATGATCAAATTTCCAGGATATTCAAGGACAATCTTAAATATCCAGGACTTTCCAGTACTGGAGAATGCTCATTTGTTTTTCCAGGACATTCAAGGAATTTAAGGACGCGTACGAACCCTGTAACATCTTGAGCTGGACATTGCAAAAAATATTTATGTTGATGTGTTTTTTTGATGTTATAAATTGTATCGTATTGTATCTCTCAGCAGATCAACAGCCAGAAATAGAACTCAAGTTCTTCAGTCCGTCAGTACCTTCAGGAGGACTAGAGTTATTATTAACATTTAGTTGTTTTTACCTGTTTGACAGAGAGCACCAGAGAAGCATGGTGGACAGATACAAGTATAAGAATTACAGGAATTAGGAGCAGCACTACAAGCACCTCCATTCTGGCAGAGATGGTTATCACAAATATTTTGAGCTAGAATCAATAAATGAACACACACACAATGATCACACTAAGATTGTCAAGGAAGATATTGTATCAACTGCAGTTTAACTGTTATATTGAAAGAGAATTTGAAAAACAATTTAATTTAAAAAAATGATACATTACTAAACAATTACTAGACATTTTTTGACACAATGGTTTCCATGATAGATGTAGGTACAGAGAAATAAACCCAAAGGGCAAAGCAAAAATCACCAATGATATTCTGTTATACTAAGAATTAAAGCAGTACAGAATAAAGAATATAAGTGGATAAGGTGATATTGATGAATAACATATTACCACACTCTATAACAAACATTCGTCACATTAATTGTTGGTCGTATATAAAGTACCATTCATTGCCAGTTAGTAATAAGCAGGCAGTCCTGCATTTGACTTTTGTGTAGGCCTACCTTATTTGGAGTATATTTTATATAAACCAATCGGCACAAAGAAATAATGATAGTAAAGCTGAATGAACTACAGTACAAATCACATCATGTGTTGGTCAATTACCAAGACTAATGTAAGTTGGTCAGTACATGCTGGACATTAAAAACAAAAACCAATTTACCAGCAGAATTATAAGAAAAAAAAAATCAACTTAATATTCCAAACGTAAAACTAAGAGCAATATTTATACTGTATCTGAATTTAACCCCTTTGTAATTGAATATTTATTTAAATTTAAATAAAGATATTAGGCAATCAATGATTAGCAACGTAAACAACTTGTACACACCTGTTTGACAGTTGATTCCAGTAAAACACCCTGAACATGTACACGTGTAACTTGAACCTACAACAGTGCATGCACCTCCATTCTGACAAGGATTTGTTGAACATGGACTTACTGTTACTGAAAAATTAAATTACAGTATATAATAAAATATGCAAATATTTTTTCACTGAAACAATCACAAACAGATATTTCTAATACCACTCATAAACTTGCATCTATTATATCGTTTCATCAAAGGAACCACCCATCCAACAACCAACACCACCTTACTTACATTAACACACTAACTCTATATATCAAGGAAAATTAAATATTGAACCAAATACAATATTTTAGGCTCTTTGGTTTAAAAGACAATATGTCAATACAAAAATAGCGATAGTGATTTTTAAATGGGTCAGTTGGGCTTGGGCAACACAAAGCTGGGTTTTTTTTTTTGCTCTAAAATAAACTACTAATGAATGGCACATGCTGTTTGACAGTCTGCTTGGGTATCAAAGTTATTGGCATTGCCATCACAATAATTAGAAAATAAGGTACAACCATCTGTACGTAATATTAAGGTTGGCCCTGATTACTTGTTATTTACCGCCATGTGTTGTTTGACATTCTACTTGGGTTTCTAAGTTGTTGGCATTACCCTTACATGTAATAACGCTACATTGTGTGTACGAAGCAAATCTTACCTTAATTTTTTAGATTTTGTGTTAGATGTGCTTTTGAAACATAAAGGGGGGTTTCGGCCCTAATTATTTTTTTATTTACCTCCACATGCTGTTTGACAATCGGTTATGGTCACAAAGTTGTTGGCATTTTCACCACAATAATAAGCAAATGGAGTACAACCACTTGTACTGCCAGCATAGTAATAACGCAAAACTCCTTGTGACCCCGGGCACGTCGCAGCTGTACCAGCAGCTAAAGGTAAGGAGCCACTTGACATGAAATGTCTGGACGATAATTAAAACATAAATTTGTTTGTTTCTATTAAACCAAGAATAAGTTACAGTAGAATTAGAATTTATAGCAATAATTTTCAATGCAAAATTCATTTATAATATCAATCAGCAGTTATGTAATTAAAACTATAATAGTTGAATTATGTTCCCAATGTTATTTCATGATGCAATGCTGATGACCAAATTTCTTTTTTAAATATTGAGCTTTCTATTGGATGCATGTAGCATGCATAGAGTAACGACTCAAAAATAAGGGTGAATGTTTTGACATTGATTAGAATCCCATGGAAGTAAACAAAAAAAGAAATACCATGCTTAAGGGTTAAATTTGACAAGATTGCGATTTCCTTTAATGACCTTTAATTTCTCCAAAATTCAACTTTTCCCCCTCTTAAATGTGATTTTATCTCATTTTTAGGCCTATTCCTTAGAGAAAAAAAAATCAAAGACACAGGACAGGCAATACATTATTAGGCCTATATTCCAACAATACTTAGTAGTTGGATAGGTTGTCTTTCTTTCATAGATCGATGAACTGATAGACCTCAAACTTTCGTACATAAATTATTACGACGTAAAAACACTGTTTTAAATTTTATTTAATTGAAGGCTGGTTGGGCCAGCCTATATCCGATCTGCCAACCTATGCCTAGGTGGTAAGCATGCCATTTGTAAGCCAGGACCCAAACCACCTTAACCCCCATAGATCCGCCACTGACACTAGCGTACAATAGTAGCATTACATGAGCACACTGAACTGGCAATACATTGATGGGTTAAATCAGGCATGAGCAAACCCATTTGCCCGACGCCCGGGACAAGTGTTTTTTACAGTCGGACAACAAGAATTTTAGGGACCACTTGACATGAAATGTATGGACTAATATGAACAGCAGCCATTAGGCCAACTTCAATAAAGGCCTAGTCTATTTCGTTTGCGCATGTGGGGAAGGCAATCTAGACAAACTAGGAAAGGGTAGTTAAATTGAGATTTAAAGTTGTTTAAAGTAATCAAGAAATCATTTATTTCTAAGTGATGGAGACAATGTGCATATAAAATCCAAATCTTGTAAAACTGGGGTTAAACATTGAGGGGTTAGGGCCTATAAATGAATCATTTCCCATCTTAATTCTTTCACCCTCTCGGAGGGATTCGTCCCCTCGGCCCATCCTTATAGTTATATTAGGTCTACAGTACAGTACTTGTCTTTCGTTGAGAGGTAAGCAATTTTATTTATTTTATAATAAATTAAATGAGGATGTGAGAGGCTGTAAAATATTTCCCGTGTAAAATATTGGGTCCAGAAATCCGTCGCCGCATTTCAAGAATATGAGCCGATTTCGACAGATATTTTGCAGAAAATTGAGGCCTTCATAGTAGTAGGAACATAAGAATATCTACAATTCTGCACATCTATTTTTCTAGATGTTTTCCCATGCAATATGAATTTGAAACATTTTGAAGTTAGCATTAGAATTGATTAAGATATGTAAATGGGATATGGCCACACCCTCCCCTTTCTCCAAATACCGTCATAAAACACAGTCTTCTCGTGTAGGCCCTATCGTGGGAATCAACCATGCCTGAGAAATGTCTACTTGCAGTTGTCGTGACAATGGCTTTCAAACCCGCAATAGGAATATGATCAACACACTCATACATACATCGAATATTAATAATAATGCACCGGCTTTTGAACCACTATTTGAAAAAGTCACAAGGTGAAATATAGTGGTTAATACACAAATGAAGTTACACCCTCAAAATTTGTTGCATTCCATGAGCACCAGAGAGGCAAACACAAGGACAAAACATCAAAGTATACATAGGTTAAACAATTGAATAACAACTGAAATGCTATAACAATTATTAGAAAAAAGGACAAAATTTCAAGATTATGGTCACAAATAATACACAAATAATTATAAAGTTGTCTTGCTATCATTCACAAAATATTTTTGCATTTAATTCACCTCTGTAATAGTTTTGTTTAAATTAACAAATTGGAAAGACTCTGAAATAAGGTCAGAGAACTCACTAGTCTCACATCGGGTTCCAGTGTAACCAGATGGGCAAGCACAGGAATACCCAATAGATGTTAGAGAGCAAGTTCCACCATTTAGACAGGGTGCAGATGCACAGGCTGTTGTAACCACTATTTGAAAAAAATCACATGGTGAAATACAGTGGTTAATACACAAATGATTACAAAGTCACACCTTCAAAATATTGTTACATTACATGAGCACATCATAAAAGCACACACACGAATAAAACATCAAGGTATACATAGGTTAAACAATTGAATAAACAACTGAAATGCTATAACAATTATAAGAAAATAGAAAATTTCAAGGTTATGGTCACAAAAAATACACAAAATAATTACCAAGTTGTGTTGCTGTCACTCACAAAATATTTTTGCATTTAATTCACCTCTGTTATAGTTTTATTTAAATTAACAAATCGGACAGATTTTGAGAAGAGGTCAGAGAACTCACCAGTCTCACATCGGGTTCCAGTGTAACCAGATAGGCAACTACAGGAATACCCAATAGATGTTACTGAGCAAGCTCCACCATTCAAACAGGGCGCAGATGTACAAGCTGTTGTAACCACTATTTGAAAAATTCACATGGTGAAATATAGTGGTTAATACACAAATGATTACAAAGTCACACACTCAAAGCATTGTTGCATACATGAACACACCATAAAAGCACACCTAAACCTAGGCCTATAAAAAAAAACTCAATTGTTTGCCGCCATCCGCCGCCCCTAAAGTCTGAAAAATGAGGGGTATGTTTTTTTTCCCCTAAAAGTTTTTTGACACGATTTTCATTTTACACGACCGTAGGTCCAACAGCTTAACCTGATACATAGTGCAGCAGTCTATTTTAATCACATGTCTTACTCCAAATATTCCGCAAGCTTCTCAGCATCTGTAAAAACCGGTCTATGATTTATTTACTTTCATCATGATAAATATGCATTTTTTTACCAAGTGTAACAGCGCCCTCAATTTTATGTTACTACTGAGTGCTTGTTTGCATTTCAATACTCAAAGTAGTCTAAGTGAAGACCCTTTATAGCAATGGTCTTAGGAGAGTGACTTTAGTAAGACCGACTAAGTGATAAAGCTGGCTTTATTTCGGTAGTTAAGACTACCAGTTAAGACCGTTGTATAGCAATCCGCCCCAGGGAGTGCTTGTTTGCGTTTCAATACTCAAAGTGGTCTAAGTGAAGACTGTTTTATAGCAATGGTCTTAGTAGTGTGACTTTAGTAAGACTACCTAAGTGATAAAGCCAGCTTTATCCAGTGCCTTTACTCAAGGAGTTAAGACTAATAGTTAAGACTGTTTTATTGCAATCTACCCATGTAGGCAGGAGGCTCCTAACCAACAAACAAACACAGAAACAGAAAAAGATAAACATACAAACAAAATCCGACGAAAATATAAAATCCTTGTGGAAGTACAAACAAACAAAATCCAATGAAAATATAACCTCCTTGGAGATGTAATAAAGACAATACAATCAAATGAATTCAGTAAATCATTATCTATATTAGGCCAAAAATTACTCTGTATCAAAGCAAAATTAAATATTGAACCAAATACAAATATTTTATAGATAATATGTTAATACAAAAATAGCGATCCTGATTTTTAAATGGGTCAGTCGGGGTTGGGCAACACAAAGCTGGTTTTTTTTTTTTCTCTCTAAACTAAACTAGGTACTTATAAACGCCACATGCTGTTTGACAGTCTGCTTGGGTATCAAAGTTGTTGGCATTTCCATCACAATAATTAGAAAATAAGGTACAACCACCTCTGTAATATTAAGGATGGCCCTGATTACTTGTTATTTACCGCCATGTGTTGTTTGACATTCTACTTGGGTTTCTAAGTTGTTGGCATTACCCTTACAAGTAACGCTACATTGTGTGTACGAAACAAATCTTACCTTAATTTTTTACAGATTTTGTGTTAGATGTGCTTTTGAAACATAAAGGGGGTTTCGGCCCTAATTATTTTTTTATTTACCTCCACATGATGTTTGACAATCGGTTATGGTCACAAAATTGTTGCCATTTTCACCACAATAATAAGCAAATGGAGTACAACCACTTGTACTGTCAGCGCAATATTTTTCAAATTACTTATTGTTATTTACCTCCACATGCTGCTTCACACAATGTATTGCTTTCAAAGTTGTTGGCATTTGCACCACAATAATAAGCAAATGGAGTACAACCACTTGTACTGCCAGCATAGTAATAACGCAAAACGCCTTGTGACCCCGGGCATGTCGCAGCTGTCCCAGCAGCTAAAGGTAAGGAACAGACACCTAAAAAACAATAATTAAAACATAAATTTGTTTGTTTCTAATAAACCAAGAATAAGTTACAAGAGCACACTGAACGGGCAAAACATGGATGGGTTAAATCAGGCATGAGCGAACCCATTTGCCAGACGCCAGTGTTTTTTACAGTCGGACAACAAGAATTTTAGGGGCCACTTGACATGAAATGTCTGGACTTCTAGACTTGTAAATACTTTCACGTTTTTCCATTAAGCCAACTTCAATAAAGGCCTAGTCTATTTTGTTTGCGCGTGTGGGGAATGCAATCTAGACAAACTAGGAAAGGGTAGTTAAATTGGGATTTAAAGTTGTTAAAGTAATCAAGAAATCATTCACTTCTAAGTGATGGAGACAATGTGCATATAAAATCCAAATATTGTAAAACTGGAGTTAAACATTGAGGGGTTAGGTCCTATAAATGAATCATTTTCCGGTCTCAATTATTTCACCATCTCGGAAAGATTCGTCCTCTCGGCCCATTCTTATAGTTATATTAGGTCTACAGTACAGTACTTGTCTTTCATTGAGAGGTAAGCATTTTTATTTATTTTGTAAAAAATTAAATGAGGATGTGTGAGGCTGTAAAATATCTCCGCGTAAAATATTGGGCCCAGAAATCCGTCGCCGCATTTCAAGAATATGAGCCGATTTCGACAGATATTTTGCAGAAAATTGAGGCCTTCATATTAGTAGGAACATAAGAATATTTACAATTCTGCACATCTATTTTTCTAGATGTTTTCCCATGCAATATGAATTTGAAACATTTTGAAGTTAGTATTAGAATTGATTAAGATCTGTAAATGGGATATGGCCACACCCTCCCCTTTCTCCAAATACCGTCATAAAACACAGTCTTCTCGTGTAGGCCCTATCGTGGGAATCAACCATACCTGGGAAATGTCTACTTGCAGTTGTCGTGACAATGGATTTTAAACCCGCAATAGGAATATGATCAACACACTCCTACATACATAGAATATTAATAATAATGCACCGGCTTTTGAACCACTATTTGAAAAATTCACAAGGTGAAATATAATGGTTAATACACAAATGAAGTTACACCCTCAAAATTTGTTGCATTACATGAGCACCAGAGAGGCATACACAAGGACAAAACATCAAAGTATACATAGGTTAAACAATTGAATAACAACTGAAATGCTATAACAATTATTAGAAAAAAGGACAAAATTTCAAGATTATGGTCACAAATGATACACAAATAATTATAAAGTTGTCTTGCTATCACTCACAAAATATTTTTGCATTTAATTCACCTCTGTAATAGTTTTGTTTAAATTAACAAATTGGAAAGCCTCCGAAATAAGGTCAGAGAACTCACTAGTCTCACATCGGGTTCCAGTGTAACCAGATGGGCAAGCACAGGAATACCCAATAGATGTTAGAGAGCAAGTTCCACCATTTAGACAGGGTGCAGATGCACAGGCTGTTGTAACCACTATTTGAAAAAAATCACATGGTGAAATACAGTGGTTAATACACAAATGATTACAAAGTCACACCTTCAAAATATTGTTACATTACATGAGCACATCATAAAAGCACACACACAAATAAAACATCAAAGTATACATAGGTTAAACAATTGAATAAACAACTGAAATGCTATAACAATTATAAGAAAATAGAAAATTTCAAGGTTACGGTCACAAAAAATACACAAATAATTACCAAGTTGTGTTGCTGTCACTCACAAAATATTTTTGCATTTAATTCACCTCTGTTATAGTTTTATTTAAATTAACAAATCGGACAGATTTTGAGAAGAGGTCAGAGAACTCACCAGTCTCACATCGGGTTCCAGTGTAACCAGATAGGCAACTACAGGAATACCCAATAGATGTTACTGAGCAAGCTCCACCATTCAAACAGGGCGCAGATGTACAAGCTGTTGTAACCACTATTTGAAAAATTCACATGGTGAAATATAGTGGTTAATACACAAATGATTACAAAGTCACACCCTCAAAGCATTGTTGCATACATGAACACACCATAAAAGCACACCTAAACCTAGGCCTATAAAAAAAACTCAATTGTTTGCCGCCATTCGCCGCCCCTAAAGTCTGAAAAATGAGGGGTATGTTTTTTTTCCCTAAAAGTTTTTTGACACGATTTTCATTTTTACACGACCGTCGGTTCAACAGCTTAACCTGATACATAGTGCAGCAGTCTATTTTAATCATGTGTCTTACTCCAAATATTCCGCAAGCTTCTCAGCATCTGTAAAAACCGGTCTATGTTTATTTACTTTCATCATGATAAATATGCATTTTTTTACCAAGTGTAACAGCGCCCTCAATTTTATGTTACTACTGAGTGCTTGTTTGCATTTCAATACTCAAAGTAGTCTAAGTGAAGACCCTTTATAGCAATGGTCTTAGGAGAGTGACTTTAGTAAGACCGACTAAGTGATAAAGCTGGCTTTATTCGAGGAGTTAAGACTACCAGTTAAGACCGTTGTATAGCAATCCGCCCCAGGGAGTGCTTGTTTGCGTTTCAATACTCAAAGTGGTCTAAGTGAAGACTGTTTTATAGCAATGGTCTTAATAGTGTGACTTTAGTAAGACTACCTAAGTGATAAAGCCAGCTTTATCCAGTGCCATTACTCAAGGAGTTAAGACTAATAGTTAAGACTGTTTTATTGCAATCTACCCCTGTAGGCAGGAGGCTCCTAACCAACAAACACAGAAACAGAAAAAGACAAACATACAAACAAAATCCGACGAAAATATAAAATCCTTGTGGAAGTACAAACAAACAAAATCCAATGAAAATATAACCTCCTTGGAGATGTAATAAAGACAATACAATCAAATGAATTCAGTAAATCATTATCTATATTAGGCCAAAAATTACTCTGTATCAAAGCAAAATTAAATATTGAACCAAATACAAATATTTTAGGCTCTTTGGTTTAATAGATAATATGTTAATACAAAAATAGCGATCCTGATTTTTAAATGGGTCAGTTGGGGTTGGGCAACACAAAGCTGGTTTTTTTTTTCTCTATAAACTAAACTAGGTACTTATAAACGCTACATGCTGTTTGACAGTCTGCTTGGATATCAAAGTTGTTGGCATTTCCATCACAATAATTAGAAAATAAGGTACAACCACCTCAGTAATATTAAGGTTGGCCCTGATTACTTGTTATTTACCGCCATGTCTTGTTTGACATTCTGCTTGGGTTTCTAAGTTGTTGGCATTACCCTTACAAATAACCCTACATTGTGTGTACGAAACAAATCTTACCCTAATTTTTTACAGATTTTGTGTTAGATGTGCTTTTGATACATAAAGGGGGTTTCGGCCCTAATTATTTTTTTATTTACCTCCACATGATGTTTGACAATCGGTTATGGTCACAAAATTGTTGCCATTTTCACCACAATAATAAGCAAATGGAGTACAACCACTTGTACTGTCAGCGCAATATTTTTCAAATTACTTATTGTTATTTACCTGAACATGCTGCTTCACACAATGCACTACTTTCAAAGTTGTTGGCATTTTCACCACAATAATAAGCAAATGGGGTACAACCACTTGTACTGCCAGCATAGTAATAACGCAAAACTGCTTGTGTCCCTGGGCATGTCGCAGCCGTCCCAGCAGCTAAAGGTAAGGAACAGACACCTGAAAAACAATAATTAAAACATAAATTTGTTTGTTTTTATTAAACCAAGAATAAGTTACAGTCCAATTAGAATTTATAGCAATAATTTTCAATGCAAAATTCATTTATAATATCAATCAGCAGTAATGTAATTAAAACGATAATAGTTGAATTATGTTCCCAATGTTATTTCATATTGCAATGTTGATGACCAAATTGTATATGAATTGATGTGTGTGCAAAAATTAAATAAACAAACAAACAAACCAACCAAATTTTTTTTTAAATATTGAGCTTTCTATTGGATACATGTAGCATGCATAGATTAACGACTCAAAAATAAGGGTGCATGTTTTGACATTGTTTAAAATCCCATGAAAGTAAACAAAAAAAGAAATACCATGAAATTTGACAAGATTACATTGTCCTTTAATGACCTTTAATTTCTCCAAAATTCAAGGTTTTCCCCCTCTTAAATGTGATTTGATCTCATTCTTAGGCCTGTCTCTTATACACATCTAGATGTGTATAAGAGACAGGGCCTATTATTAAATATTGGAATGGTACCTTATATATTTATAACCAGGTAGCAGAGCAGCTTAGCTCAGTTGCCTAAACTGGTGGTAGCCTCTGTGTGCGCTAAAACGTGGGGATCTCTAGGTCTCCGATTCAAATAAAATCAAATCATTATTTATTCATCACTCAAAATGCCATTTTTCAAATTCAACCCATTGGGTTGAATTTTACAAAAGTAAAGGGTTCAAGCAGAAAACTCTAAACAATCAACATTTAAACATTTTTCAACAAATAGACCCACATCACAATAACAGCAAAATGAACTCACTAGTCTCACATCGGGTTCCAGTGTAACCAGATGGGCAAGTACAAGAATACCCAATAGTTGTTAGAGAGCAAGTTCCACCATTTAGACAGGGTGCAGATGCACAGGCTGTTGTAACCACTATTTGAAAAAAATCACATGGTGAAATACAGTGGTTAATACTGTACACAAATGATTACAAAGTCACACCTTCATAAAAGCACACACAAGGATAAAACATCAAAGTATACAAAGGTTAAACAATTGTATAAACAACTGAAATGCTATAATAATTATTAGAAAATGGGAGAAAATTTCAAGATTATGGTCACAAAAAATACACAAATAATTACAAAGTTGTGTTGTTGTCACTCACAAAATATTTTTGCATTTAATTCACCTCTGTTATAGTTTTAATTAAATTAACAAATCAGACAGCCTTTGAGAAGAGGTCAGAGAACTCACCAGTCTCACATCGGGTTCCAGTATAACCAGATGGGCAACTACAGGAATACCCAGTAGATGTTACTGAGCAAGCTCCACCATTCAAACAGGGCGCAGATGTACAAGCTGTTGTAACCACTATTTGAAAAATTCACATGGTGAAATATAGTGGTTAATACACAAATGATTACAAAGTCACACACTCAAAGTATTGTAGCATACATGAGCACATCATAAAAGCACACCTAAACCTAGGCCTATAAAAAAAACTCAATTGTTTGCCGCCATCCGCCGCCCCTAAAGTCTGAAAAATGAGGGGTATGTTTTTTTTTCCATAAAAGTTTTTTTCGACACGATTTTCATTTTACACGACCGTCGGTTCCACAGCACGCCAATCACGACTGTTTCACACTTGGTTAACCCTAAACTTTTCTCTCCTCGTGGTTGGTACTACTACTACCAAGGTGATACAATGTCGGTTGTTGCGATTTTTACCTTTTTTAACACTTAATAAGTAAATGAAGCTGGTGAGCTTGACCTGATACATAGTGCAGTAGTTTATTTTAATCACGTGTCTTACTCCAAGTGTAACAGCGCCCTCAATTTTATGTTACCACAGAGTGCTTGTTTGCATTTCAATACTCAAAGTAGTCTAAGTGAATACCCTTTTATAGCAATGGTCTTAGGAGCCAGAGTGACTTTAGTAAGACCGACTAAGTGATAAAGCTGGCTTTATTCAGGGAGTTCAGACTACCAGTTAAGACCGTTGTATAGCAATCCGCCCCAGGGAGTGCTTGTTTGCGTTTCAATACTCAAAGTGGTCTAAGTGAAGACTGTTTTATAGCAATGGTCTTAGCAGTGTGACTTTAGTAAGACTGCCTAAGTGATAAAGCCAGCTTTATCCAGTGCCTTTATTCAAGGAGTTAAGACTGTTTATTGCAATCCTCCCCTGTAGGTAGGAGGCTCCTAACAAACAAACACAGAAAAAGAAAAAACATACAAACAAAATCCGATGAAAATATAAAATCCTTGTGGAAGTACAAACAAACAAAATCCAATGAAAATATAACCTCCTTGGAGATGTAATAAAGACAATACAATCAAATGAATTCAGTAAATCATTATCTATATTAGGCCAAAAATTACTCTGTATCAAAGCAAAATTAAATATTGAACCAAATAAAAATATTTTAGGCTCATTGGTTTAATAGATGTTAATACAAAAATAGCGATCCTGATTTTTAAATGGATCAGTTGGGCTTGGGCAACACAAAGCTGGTTTTTTTTTTGCTCTAAACTAAACTAGGTACTTATAAACGCTACATGCTGTTTGACAGTCTGCTTGGGTATCAAAGTTGTTGGCATTTCCATCACAATAATTAGAAAATAAGGTACAACCACTTCTGTAATATTAAGGTTGGCCCTGATTACTTGTTATTTACCGCCATGTCTTGTTTGACATTCTGCTTGGGTTTCTAAGTTGTTGGCATTACCCTTACAAGTAACCCTACATTGTGTGTACGAAACAAATCTTACCCTAATTTTTTACAGATTTTGTGTTAGATGTGCTTTTGAAACATAAAGGGGGGTTTCAGCCCTAATTATTTTTTTATTTACCTCCACATGATGTTTGACAATCGGTTATGGTCACAAAATTGTTGCCATTTTCACCACAATAATAAGCATATGGAGTACAGCCACTTGTACTGTCAGCGCAATATTTTTCAAATTACTTATTGTTATTTACCTGAACATGCTGCTTCACACAATACACTACTTTCAAAGTTGTTGGCATTTTCACCACAATAATAAGCAAATGGGGTACAACCACTTGTACTGCCAGCATAGTAATAACGCAAAACTGCTTGTGCCCCTGGGCATGTCGCAGCCGTCCCAGCAGCTAAAGGTAAGGAACAGACACCTGAAAAACAATAATTAAAACATAAATTTGTTTGTTTCTATTAAACCAAGAATAAGTTACAGTCGAATTAGAATTTATAGCAATAATTTTCAATGCAAAATTCATTTATAATATCAATCAGCAGTAATGTAATTAAAACGATAATAGTTGAATTATGTTCCCAATGTTATTTCATGTTGCAATGTTGATGACCAAATTGTATATGAATTGATGAGTGTGCAAAAATTAAATAAACAAACAAACCAACCAACCAAATTTGTTTTTTAAATATTGAGCTTTCTATTGGATGCATGTAGCACGCATAGATTAACGACTCAAAAATAAGGGTGCATGTTTTGACATTGTTTAAAATCCCATGAAAGTAAACAAAAAAAGAAATACCATGAAATTTGACAAGATTACAGTGTCCTTTAATGACCTTTAATTTCTCCAAAATTCAAGGTTTCCCCCTCTTAAATGTGATTTGATCTCATTCTTAGGCCTATTCCTTAGAGAAAAAAAAATCAAAGACACAGGCAATATATTATAAGGCCTATATTTCAACAATACTTAGTAGTTGGATAGGTAGTCTTTTTTTTTTATAGATCGATGAACCGATAGACATGGAACTTTAGTACATAAATTATTAGACGTACAAACACTATTTTAATTTTATTTAATTGAAGGCTGATCAGAGACGTATACGGGGGGGGGGTAGCTGCGACATTGAACGCCCAAGACCGCGGGCGAATACTAGAATCTTCTAAGTAAGTGGTTGGCTGAATTGTTTTGGTCGGAAAAGAGAAATTTTCTCGGTGAATTGATTTTTGCACAAGATAACGAAAGCTCTCTAATGACTCAAGCTACTGCATATTTTAATAAAACCAATTTCTTCTAATATTAAATACATTTCTCCTGAATTCGTGATAATTCGTTATCATGCATAGACTTGTGCTAAATGCGTGATAAATTTATGATCATGCGTGTGTATCTGCAAAATGCGAAATCCTCCAAAATCACTTTGAAATGCAGGAACGTCCTGCACGATGCGCAAAAGTTGGTAACTATGTTTCATTTATTTGGTCTCAGTAAAATACAAAAACAACTAGTTACAATAAAAGAAAGTAAAAGAATAAAATATGTGAAACAGGCAGAGACAGAATTCCTAAAAATGAAACAAATCAATATCAAGTAGGTCTCCTAGCGCACTATTCCGATTGCACTTAAATAATAAAATGTACAATTAAAAATATTTAAAATCTGAAAAAATTTGCTTTAACAACAGACAAATATAGATTGTAAGACATATTGGAAATATAATTTAAGATCGTTTAAAAATGCTTTATGATTCAAAACCAATAAATTCCTAGTTTCTACAGGCAATTCCTCCCAAGCATGTGCAAACAAATGTAACACAAAATATTCAGAGAATTTGTAATTAAAAAGTATCACAAACATGTTGCAATTTGTGGGGTTCCCCCATTTAGGCCTAAATGTAATTAAAAAGTATCCAAATCATATTGCATAAAATAAACTTATGTATAAGTTATTCCTATGTATTTATAGGAGCTAACCTGAGTCAGAGCATTTAAACCAATATTATATACATGAGCATTATTCTGTAGCCTTGATGATAGTTATGTGCATCGACTTGCACTTTGATGAGTTGCACTCCAATTGATAATAATATTTCCCTCAAGACATACACAATAAGAAAATACTCTTTCGTTGTGAAGTCAAATACAGTACAGATTATTTACATTTTATATAGTAAGATACCCTAAAAAATGAACAAAATCTGATTCTAGGGACTTACCAGCTGTTTAACATCGTGATTCAGTGTAGGTACTTGGACACGTACAGTTATACGATGTTACAAAGTTGTTACACTCCTCTCCATTAAGGCATGGAGAACTATCACACAGATTTGACATTGCAATATTCACAAATTTGTCCATTAAAGTTAAGTCACAGAACAAGATACTGTAATACTTTCTTGTCATAATATTAGGTACCCAGTCCATATAAAGAATTATATACAATTGTGAAAGTGAGCAAAATGAATTGATGGGATTCAATTCTAGAGACTACCAATGGCGGTTTCACATCGTGATTCAGTATAGGTACAGACCTGCCAACCCTTCTGGAGATTATTTTAAGAATCTTAAAAAAATCTGGAGATTTACTAAAAAATCTGGGAGGTTTCAAAATTAACCAAAAGGTGATGCAAGATACCAAAAAAGTCATGTCACTACAAATCATTGGCCATTGGTGGCGACATTCCAATTGAAAATGGCTGCTTGTTTATTGCACCGCGAAGCACACAGGCGGCGAATACATTGAATAATAACTATCAAATCAATAAAAGTATGCATAAATCGGAGTATTTTTGGGGAGGGGGGTGGCCTGTGAAATCGGGTGAAAATTACATTTGATCGGGAGAACTGCAGATTTGTTTAAATATCGGGTGACACCCGACAGGATCGGGTGACACCCAACAGGATCGGGTGAGTTGGCAGGTCTGCATGTACACGTATATGATGTTACCAAGTTGTTACACGCCCCTCCATTAAGGCATGGAGAACTATTACATGGATTTGTAGAAACTATTCGACTGAAGCAAAGTAAAATAAACAAAAGAAAAAAACATTGAAAATGTTTGTAAATCATTTTCTAGAAATATTGGTGTTCTTAACAAAGTCAAAACATTTTTACCAAAAGGCTTCACTCTATCAACTGTACTGCTCATTGGTTTTACCATATACTATGGTTTGCTACTATGGGGAAATGCTAGTAAAGTGTATATCAACAAACTGTTTCTATTACAAAAACATGCATTAAGAACAATATCACACAGTTCGTATCTGTGTCTAACTAAACCATTATTTCTTAAATATAATGTTTTAAATATCTTTGACATGTATACAAGTGAATTTGCTACTTTTACAGTATGTACAAATAAGCATGACACTTACTTTCATACATTTTCCCTCAACTGCTTGTTTGTTTCTATATTGTATGGGCTTGTTCTTGAATATGCTTAAATTTTTAATGTAAAGGTGGTGCAATATTTTACAAGCAATTTGCTTTTATTTGTATCTCCTCAATCTATTTTTTTTTCATTATTTTTGTTGATGTGTATTTTTTTATGGTTAATATACAGGGTATGTATTGTATCATATACTGTAAACTACATACAGTAATGCACAATCCATTAAAACATTAACTAAGCACCAGCTGCATCTTGAAGAAATATCAATGATTTTACTATTACTTGTACATTAAAGCCATCCATACAATAAACCCATACCAAAATGAACATACTAACTACTGTATATCATACACGCCTACTCTATAACACCACCACAAATCATACACCATGCACACACAAACATTGAATAAAATGTCAAAAACAATCTAATACAGTAATTCATTGCATCACATCAGGCCAAAAAAAAAGATATATTTTTTTTATTACTATATTTAAAAAAAGAGCAACCCTAGATTTTCAAGTATTTGGGGTCAGTCAGGCTTTGGAAAATGTTTATATTTTTTTTACATTATTAAGCACATTATTTTTCAAATTACTTATTGTTATTTACCTGAACATGCTGCTTCACACAATGCACTGCTTTCAAAGTTGTTGGCATTTTCACCACAATAATAAGCAAATGGGGTACAACCACTTGTACTGCCAGCATAGTAATAACGCAAAACTGCTTGTGCCCCTGGGCATGTCGCAGCCGTCCCAGCAGCTAAAGGTAAGGAACAGACATCTGGAAAACAATAATTAAAACATAAACTTGTCTTTATTTACATTGAATTTTCATTAGGTTTTAAACTACTTTAATAATTTATTCATTTCAAGTATGAGTTTTGGCCATAAGTATAACATAGGGAACCCAGTATGAACTGAATTTCCGAATTTAGATTTATATTGGTCCTTACAAAAAATGATTACAGGCACAATTCCTCAGTAAAAATATACTATAAGCAAGAGTTACAAGTTATTCATACTAAAAATGTTAAATATTTTTAGATATACTGAAATACAATTCATATAATAAAAGAGTTGCCTATTAAAATATCATAATACACATACTATGTATGAAAAATATGGAAAAAGAATGAAAGAATGAATGCATGGGAAATGAAAGAATGATTGAATGGGTGAGCAATTAAATGAGTGAATGCATGAATGAGCGAATGAGTTTATGAATGAATAAATGAATGAATTAACGAACGAACAAACCAACGAATGAACGAATGAATGGATGAGTGAATGAATGAATGATTGGATAAACTAATGAATGAATGTATGGATGAATGAAATGGAGACAGATGGATTGTATAAATTAGAGAATGCAGTAGCATGGGGAAAGGTGGGGGATAAAAAAATTTAAACCCAGGTTTTCCTATCCCTCACTAGAAATGTTCTAAGCACAAAAAATTCCAATCACGTAAAAGTACGTAGATAAAAACAACATACAAGCACCAGAAATTACCCGTCGAGTACAGTAGTCGAATACCCCCTAAAAGAGCCCAAAAGTACCTCAGGTCCGGGCGGATTCAAGGGGGCCGGGGGGGATGCTATCAAAATTTGAACAAAATTGAGAAAAATTGAGTCTAAGAGTGCCATTTCCGGCCATCTAGAGGTGCCATAATCATAAAATGTAATTACCTCAGCCCCAACCATGATGAAAGTCCCTCTCTGGGCCCTATTGTATTTCAAATTTCTGTATCCCGCCACTATCAGCCCCACTATGTTTGTAATGGCATTGTCAGACTAAGCTTTCAAATAGTATTTTCAACAATATGACATACCCTAGGCCTAAGCCTGCTCCACGGATCTGTTGCTGCTATCATATCAGCTCCCTCAATTTAACCCATATTCCCCATCAGTCTCCACCTCCCTCCATGTCAATACTCTACACCGCAACGTACAGTGAGTGAGCTACCATTGCACTCACAAAAAGCCAGACTCTTGTTAACAAAGCAGGAGTCTCACGGAAACTGAGATGGCCTTAGTGGCGGTTCCGGGATGTGGGGTGTTTTAGACGAACCCCCTCTGTAAATAAAATACTACTGCATCCTGGCTTACAAAATGCATGCTAACCTAGCCTATGATGCACAGGTTGGCAGATCGGAGAAACTAAGCTCAGCCCAACTAGCCTCCAATTAAATAAAATTAAAAACACTGTTTTTGGTTCGACGTCCTAATATTTTATGTACGAAAGTGCTTCACGCCTATCGGTTCGTCACGTAATTTTGTGCTCTGGATAGGTAGGCTAATGTATTAAAATTCAGAATCAAATGAGTCAATTCAATCACTGGTTTTATTTTTGCAAAGATTCAAATACAAGTCCCATAAAAGAAGGACTGCAAACTATGTCTTATCGCCATAACCATACACTCTTTGCCATAATGTACAGAATAGCACTGGAATCTGGAACAAAATACAACTTTTATTGTTTTAATTAGATTTTGGCCTACTCCATTATAAATATTGTATTTGCGTTGCGAATTATTGATACAATTTAGTTAACTGGTACTGGTATTGGGTATTTATAATGCGCCTTTCCCTTGCAGTTATGAAGCGCAAGCCAAGCCTCAATAATTCAGGAAAACAATTGGTAGGCATAAAATCAGTCATTATTCTTATTGAACCCCATGCATTACAATAGTACAGTCACACAAACAACAAAGACAAATAAACAGATTACAACAATAAAAAACAAAGGAAAAAGCAGCAAAAAGAGGGGAAAACAAGTAAGTCTTGAGTACATGTTTAAAAAGATTAGGATCTGAGATATCTCTAATGTCAGTTGGAAGATTATTCCAAAGCTTAGAAGCAACAAGGAAATGAAAAACCTCCAATTCTCTTGTTGTAACGTAGCATAATGAAATGTACAGATGAAGAGAAATGTATTGTACGTGTAGGGATACTGTACATTGTTTGAGAAAAAAATATATAAATAGAAAAAACTATAGATACATTTGTGAACAGTGAGAATAATTTTGAAAATAATTCTATCATTAACTCGCAGCCAATGAAGTTCATTTATGAGAGGAGCAGATCTGTGTGTACGAGGATCACATGAAAAGACTAAAGCGAGCAACAGAGTTTTGCAATTTATGCAGCCTATCAATGTCTTTCTTGGAGAGACTACATAGAGTGAGTTACAATTATAGTGAATTCGCGATAGTACGAGGGCTTAAATGACTACTGAGTGATCAATTTCACATTTTTGCTTAGTCCACTTCTAAATGGGGATACTAAATATAAAAGTGATAAGGGCACTTTTTTGGTCCCGAAGGTGTCCCCCTATAGTAGGGGTTCTACTGTAATTTTATTAATATTAGCCTGGTTCTCACAAGGGCCCTAGTATCCGGATCGGGAGCTAACCGTTAACACCTGCGTGAGAACGGCCAATTGGTTAGCGCTAACCGTTAGCAGTATCCGGATACTGCTAACGGTTAGCAAGTGCTATCGGTTAGCAAGTTGAGCGCGTTTTTATCATCAACCCATCACACGTACGCGTTTACAATTTCCAGTTTCTTATTGGCCAGTGATTCGATCATCATATTTTTAGTATCCAGATCGTGATTTTCTCGTATGGATGCATGGCAGCTAACGGTTAGCAGGATCCATTAGCAGTCATGTGAGAACATAGCCACTGTCACTGAACAGAGGGGTGTGTTCTAGTTAGGATGTACACTTTCTTGCGTCCTCAAGTGATGGCGATGGTGATTAAGAGGAGGATGATGATGATGATGACATAGGTGGTGGAATAGTTGAGCGATGGAAGAATTAATGACATCAAAATAAGCCCATCATAAATGTGGCCAAAGCAAAATCACATTTTTACATCACCATCATAGGACATCTTAGGACAAAATTATGCTAAATTTGTCAAAATTATGCCTAGCACATATGCTAGATGCTAAAGGGGTCTAAATTATGCCAAAAAGCATAATTATGCCAATTCTGGTCACTATGTTACAATTTATACCCACTTGCCTCACATGACCAACCTACAGAATGTACGTCTACTGTATGCGTGGCTGATGTTTATTCTGCATTGACTTGAGACCTTGTTATCATTATATTTATTTTATTGCATGTCGTTAACTTCATGTTTTGAACGCATTTTTATCATTTTAAGTGTGGCAATGTTTCAAAAGTGTAGTTTTCGAATAAATAATAATTATTTTATAACCAGATGTGACGGAACTAGGGGGTTCTGCGTTATGGAGAGTAATGTGTGACCGGAAATGGTCTGAAGTCAGTTGGTTGTTACCATGCGTCAGTGATGTTGGAGTACAGCAAGATGAAACTATTTATGTAATGCATGAATAAAGTTCGGGGTTTGTTGGGTAGTGAAATGATTATTAACAATTATGCAAATGTTACATGAACACCTGGGAAGGAAGGTGCAATCACGTTCTGCTGCCTAGCAAACGTCTGTACTGTAGCGTGGGGGGGGGGGGGGGGGGGCTAGACTGCCTAGCCTACTGATGTACTGTGTAGCGGGAAAGATGAGGCATAATAAGAAGACTAGCCTAGGCCTAGCCTAGGCCTAAGTACACAGTGCAATTATATGTGATAGAAAATACACTTTCGAAAGAAATAAATTAAAATAAGAAAAAAAAAATAACTAAGAATAATTCATTTGCAGACGTACCTTGTTTAAGTATTATACAAAGCTAACAATGCAGCTCTTGTAGCCCTAGCTAGGCACATCCATGTGCAAAGCAGTGGTGTTTGTTTTTCATGAAAAAAGCACGCCGGGAAAGTTTGCCTTACCATGAAAAGGTGACGTAATCTAGCTTATGACGTATGCATGCTAACTATAGCGTGAGTGTGACGACACCAAAAAATAAAAATTTTCTATTATAACCAAAATATTAATAACTACAAGGTTTGTGGGCGTAAATTCCCTTAATAATTGTTCATACTTAATATTGAATTCTGGTTCTAATTAAGCTTGTTTTACGAAAGTAATTTTCAATTACAATTGTTTTCTGTCTCTGTGACTACCAGGCTATTTTTTAGTTTCTGGCTGTTTTTGCAGATTCAGATCAGCGCTGTCCCCTATAATTCCTGTAGCCGGAGGGTCATGGTGATGTCTTTCCTGATCCTGACTCCACACCCACCAATAAGATTCAATAAGATTCATTAAGATTCGATAAATTCAATATGATTCATTAGATTTAAGTTATTTGAATATGTCTCTTTGGAGTTCTTTGTTAGTTTACTTTTTCCTTTATTCCTCTCTGAATTGTACCTTGATCAATCACTTGAATTTCATTTGTACCCTGTTGTTCAAATGACAATAAAAAATAACGTATCGTATCGTAATTTTTTCGCTGTGCGAGATGTCTTCGCGGTGACGAAAGAATTAGGAATTTTTGAATCTAAAACCTAAAATTTTTTGAACCTAGAACCTAAAAAAAAAAAATCAAGCCGAGCGTCCACTAATTGAAAAAAATAGTGGACGGTGGGGAATAGGCAAATAACATTGGGAGTTACAGTGATGTCGTCACGATTGACTTAATACGAATTAATGGTAGACCATCTCCTTTCCATACAAATTACAGATCCCACTGACGCCTCAGTCGAGAAATACGAGTACGTTCCACTTCTGACTCTGTTTTTTATTTATTTATTCTGAGTTGTGCTTCGCACACGCCGCTGAGGGCGGCGTTCCAGGAACCCTACGTCTAGTAAGCAGTCAATTCGTATTGTGCATACCTCTGCCCTGCCCTGAACTACCAATCAGTGGTGCGGTCCGTGTATGGTGGGTGATTCCATTATTTTCCGTCCCGGTGCCTGAATTACAGAAAAACATGATGGGCTACTCCATCGTTTTCTTTTATGCTCGGGATAAAAAATAGCAGCTCCGTGACCTTGACTCATTCTTCCCCAAACTTCTTTCTTTAAATATTATGTAATATTTTATTCCAATAAATTCTAAGATAATCCATTCATTAGGTAATCTTGTAAACACACAGACAGCGGTGAATACACCTTCTGGCGGAGATAATTAAGTTAGTGCACCAGAGTGATGAGCAGGGAAATCTTAAAGTATATGGAAATTATAGATAGGAACTCAAAGAAAAAAAACACACATTTTCATTCTATAAAAGATTCCAAGGCTCTGTCTAAATAAAGATTCTTTCAAAGTTCACATAATAAGCTTAAACCCAACACGCCACCCGCGTACACACTGATTGGTCTACTGATTTACATTACCGATTTTTTTTTTCTAAAGCATCGAAGCGAGTTAGAATTCAACATTCCTAGCTACACACCTTTAAATACCTTAGAATAAAAGATTGTGGAACAAGTAAAGTCAATTTACCCTTAAGCTCATTTCTACAGGTCTACTGTCACAAAATGTCTATTACCTCCCTCTATTGTTATTATGGGTTAAAAAGGTGTTAGAAAATTGATGTAAATCTTTGCTATTTAGGTTATCAATCTAAGAATACCGTATTTAAAGATAAAAATGGATAACTATGCCTCCCCACCCCCACCTTTTCCGCGAAAAGGTTGTGGACCATAATCAAATTGTTAATTTTGAAGTATTATAATAGTCAGTGAATAAATGTACGTAGCCAATTAGCCTTCCAGTAGGCCCTATCTTCTTTTTCAATAAACGATGCACCCATTGCTTTATTTGATATTTCATACATGACTAACATATGAAATAATATATTGAATGTTACTTTTGAATATTCTGACTTAAAATTGCGTTGAAAGGAACTAAACTGTGTACTTATATCCTTTTGCAAAGTTTGTCAACATGTCTTGAATCAGAAAACCCACGGCAAAAGGGCATAACTGAAATTTTGAGCACAAAAATCAATATTTATAGAAAAATGTGTGCCACACTGGAAGAGACATCATTTGTCTATTTGAATACATAAACCATGAAATCAAATACTAAAACACATTTTAGGGCTAAATAAACTACACATTTTGCTTAATATCTCCAAAATAGCAAATTGTCAGTTATTCCCTTTTGCCATGGGAGGGCAGTATTCACATCAAATTAGATTACAACTTGTTGAGTAAATGAGAATGGCCAAAAAGACTGTACCAAATTAACAAAAAATAAATAAATTAATAAAATATTAAGGTAATTCAATTTGTATACGTTGAATACAAGTTTTAACAATTTAGCTTCAAACACAGGGACAGATGATAGTTATAATTTTGCTTAGACATTGCAGAGATCATCTGTGTTTCAGTGGCAGTAATTGTTCTTTTTAATGCATATGACAGCTCTGCAATCCTCGAGTCTCAGCCACTCCCATTTTTTTCACAAACTTAGTTCCCCACTTAAGGGTGACTGAGTGTTTGCTACTATACTGCACACATAGACACACACCCTTGTATTGAAGACATTATTTTGATTATCAATAAAGGATAGGCCTCTATTACACCCAATGACGCATTACTAGTTTTAGCTGCACTTCATCAGCAATGTAAAAACTTCATAAAAAAGGAGTAAAATTTAATGTATACTGTATTTGAAAAGGTTCATATTACAATATCCAAAATGATAAAAGAAAAATACAATTAGAAAAAAACAATTAGAAAAACTCAGAAATTCGAATAACAAGCTGAAGAAGGTTGATCTGGGTGTTAGCAAAGAGTATAAATAGAACAAGAGAGCCAACCAAGGTAATTCAACAAAAGGACGCACATCTCCGCTCTCGAACATAGCGCGTGCGTACAGTCCTTTGATCTTTACTGTGGCATCGACAATCCGATACTAGTTGCGAGTACAGCCGTCAATTATT